AGCTTCCTGCTCGCGCTCCTTCGGGAGCATCCAGGCTCCGCTGACGCCCATCCCGTCGGGTCCCTTCCCCTCACCCTGACCGACCGCGGGGGCTTGCTGGGCAGTCTGCACCTCGGCTCTCCTCTGTGTGCTGCCTCGCTGAGCGGCCTGGGGCCCAGGCGCTCAGAGCCTCGGTTTAGGTGGAAATGTTGGGCCACTTCTGGTTTAGACGACATGGTTCAGTTCTTTCCAGCAAACTGGCACCTACAGTTCCCTTGTTGGTAGCAGGACAGCACGGTGTTATTGTGCCCATTTCACAGAGGAGGGAGGGGGGCATGGAGAAGCGAGGTAACCCGCCCAGGATCAGAGCAGGGCCATTCTCTGTCCAGCTCCCCTGGCCTCACCGTGCTTCACGTACAGCTTGCCATCTCACCACCTCATCTTCACAACTTACTCCTCCTCCCCGGGAGGTAGGAATTTGAGCTCAGAGACGTTGAGCTGCCTGATCAAGGTCGCAGAGCGGACAGATAGAATGGCCACAGTCAGCGGGGCCACCCATCAGATGCAAGGAAAGGCCCCCTCTGGCTGGTGGGAGGCGAGGGTGGCAGCAGCGGGGAGACTTCTGGGAAGATGAGGTGTTGGGCTGGGTCTTGAAGGGGAGGGGCTGTGGAATGAGGGCCCTGGATGGGGACAGAGGGCTCCCCAGCCTGGGAGAGCAACAGGTGTAGAGGCCCCCAGGTGGCAGGAGTTGGGATGTGTTTGTGTGTGGGAGGGTGAGGGAGAGGGAGGTGAGGAGGGCGCCAGTCTGGCAGGCTGAGTGCCGGGATCAGGGCTTCTCTGGGGCTGGGGCTATTCCCTCCAGGGCAGGGAGTTCTTTCTTCCTCCCCCATCAGGGTACCGTGTACACAAGTGTGAGAGGTTGTTACCGGGCCCTTAGCGGGTCTGCCTAGGGCTGGCTAGCAGTGTGTGTGTGTGTGTGTGTGTGTGTGTGTGTGTGTGTGTGTGTTTTAAATACATTTTTATTTATTTCAGAGAGGAAAGGAGAGGGAGAGAGAAAAAAACATTAATGATGAGAATCACTCATCATTGATCAGCTGCCTTTTGCATGCCCACTACTGGGGATAGAGCCTGCAGCCTGGGTATGTGCCCTGACCCAGAATTGAACCATGACTCCCTGACTCATAGGTCGATACTCAACCACTGAGCTACACTAGCTGGGCAGTGTGTGGGTTCTTGACCTTGTGCAGGAAAGATTTCGCAACTGGAGTCCAGGTGATTGAGAGTCCTTTATTAGAGCTGGGTTCAGGGAAACACGGAAGGGCTTAGGATGGAAGAAGCCACAGGAGAGCCTGGGTGGGGTTGCTTTTGCTCACTGGAAAGTCCGAGAAAATAGGGCCAGGAGACAGGTTGCAAATCTCATGGGGACCTTTACAAGTTAGGAGATGCACTCCTATAGGGGAAGAAGAGGAAAGGGAAAGGCGAGAGCTTACTCCAGGGAGGGGAGCACCCGCTGGGTCCTTTGTTTTGAGGGTTTTTAAAGGCTGGGAATTTAGGGGCGGTCTTAGAGGAGATTTCAATAAAATATTCATCAGCTTTTCCACGACCTTTTAGGGTTGTGGTCTCTACTGATTGGTCAGCACCAGGGCAGGGTCATTAGTCATTGCAGCTGGTCCGGGAGTTGCCCACCAAACATTGCTGCTTTTCTGGGCCTGGAGCTGAAACACTACTGAGGCCTACACGCTGTCTCTAGGGAGGTGACCTTTTGTATCTGGCTGTAAATTGCTCGGCCAGTTCATGCAGCTGTCTGCCTCAGTTTCCCTATTCTACTCGACAGCCTCTCCTTGCTGTCTGACTTTGTGGGGGAGGGTAGTCAGGTTCTTTTCTTCCCCCATGAAAATGTCTGAGCTGGAGGCAGGAGGCAGTTGCCCCAAAGACAGATCCACAGGCAGAGAACTGCAGGTAATTTGCAAATGGCCCAGGGGGGTTGGGGTATATTATAGATTCTCTCGTTACAAGTATAGATTCTCTCTCCCACATGTGCATGCACACACATACACCCACACACTTTTAAAAAAATATTTTTTTATTGATTTCAGAGAGGAAGGGACAGGGAGAGAGACATAAAAACATCAATGATGAGAAAGAATCATTGACCAGCTTTCTCCTGCACACCCACCTCCACTGGGGACTGAGCCCGAAACCCAGGCATGTGCCCTGACCAGGAATCAAACTGTGACCTCCTGGTTCATAGGTCGACACTCAGCCACTGGGCCACATCGGCTGGATCACACACATTTTCTTTTTGATAACATGGGTGGATTTATTTCTTAACCCCACACATTTAATTTAATATCATTTGTTAATTATTTTTTTAATTGATGAGAAAGAGAAAGAGAGGTATCAATGTGAGAGCGAAACATTGATTGGTTGCCTCCTGTATGCACCCTGACCAGGGAGTGAACCCTCAACCTAGGTATGTGCCCTGACTGGGAATCAAACCTGCAGCCTTGGGGTGTACGGGACGACGCTCCAGCCAACTGAGCCACACGGCCAGGGCACCACACACACATTTTAAAACACATTTGGGAACATACTCTTTTTTAAAAAATTAATTTATTTTTGATTATAATTGACATACAGTATTACATTAGTTTCAGGTGTACAACATCGTTATTCAACATTTATCTACCTTACAGAGTGATCACCACAATAAAGCTAGTAACCATCTGCCACTGTAGATAGTTTATTACGATGTTATTGACTCTATTCCCTATGCGGTAACAGGAAGTTTGCACTCCTCAAGCCCCTTCCCCTTCCCCCGCTCCCTCCATCCCTCTGGTGGGAACAGGCCCTTTTGAAAGCTGAAGCTTTATCCACTGTATCTTGAACATTGTGCACATCCCTCTGCTCCCCTAGGAGCATGCCTTGGGGTAGCTGCCCCCCAGGGCATCGTCTGATGTACCACTTCGGGCTGGGTAAACTCCCATTTGGAAGGCCTTTCTGGCCATTGAATCTCTCTGAGGTCTGTGAGTTCCCTGCTTCTCTGGCTCAGCTTTTGGGAGGGGAGATGGTACCGCACTGAGCTCTCCTTGCAGCCTGCTGGAGCACCTGCTCCTTGTACAGATGAGGCAGCAGGCCCAGAGCAGTGGAGAGGCTCAGCCCAGGGCGCAGCCGGTGAGCGGCAGTGTAGGGACCAGAGCCAGGCCTCTGCTTCATGGCTGGGTGCTGAAGCAGCTGGGATCCTCTGGGATCCTCCCTCACCCAGCTCTCTTTAGCTGTGAGCAGGCTTTTCACACAACAAATATTTGGCCAGCAACACTTTCCCCCTCATTTAAGGGAATTTCTTCAACAAATCTTTATTTAGCAGCTATCATGTGCTAGGCATTGGGGGATGGAGCAGTGAACAGGGCCAATGAGGACGGCAAAGGAGAAGTTAATCACGGACAGGTAAGCACTGTGGTCCAATAGGGCCGAGGGGGTTGGGTATTTAAAGTGTCACCGGCAAAGGTTTCTTGGGTGGGGCTGAGCTGAGCCTTGAAGGGAGATAATGGGCAGTTACCAGAAAGAGAACAGCATGTACAGTGCCTTTGGGGACCACACAGACGCATGTTTTAGCCCCTTCCTGTCTGGGGCCAGGCTTCCTCCCAGTGTTTTTTGTTTTTCCCCTGTGCATTTTTTCTTTACCTAGTTGAGATAACACTACTTGGGTAATTAGTTGAAAAAAGTAAGATATCAAAAACATTTCCCTCCTGTTGTTAAACATTTGTGCCGAGCTTGATTTTTTAAAATAAGTCCTTAATAGTCCATCTAGAGGTTGTGCCATGGTTTACTCACCATTTCCCTAGAGTTGGACATTTTGGCTCTTTCCAAATTAGGATCATTATAAATAAGGCCACAGTGGGCATTTTTGTGCACAATTTTGCTTCAGATCATGAATTTTACCTCCAGACGTCTCAGCGCCCTCCTTCGCGCTCGCTCCTTTCCTGTCCTGCAGTGCGTGTCTTCCTCTATCAGGAGGAGGCGACACTGTCGACCTCTGGGGATTGTGACTGGGTGAAGTGAGGCATGTGTAGCCAGCCAGCCCGGTCCTGGCAGGCCTGATGGAGCCCAGGGGTGTTCTTCTTCTCCCTCCCAGCCTGTGGAGTCTTATACCCACTGGGCAGATGAGGCCTCTGAGGCCTGGAGGGGCCCGGAGCAAACATCGCCACGCTTACTGAACTCCTGCTCGATCCCAGGCGTGGTGCTAGCAACGTCAGACACATTAACTGTGACCTTCAGAACAGCCCCAGAAAGTTAGGAGCATCATCCCCATTACACGGATGAGGACACTGAGGCACAGAGAACTCAAATGACCTCTCCAAGGTGGCCCAGTGACCTCAGGTGGAGGAGAACTAAAGCCCAGGTTCCCAGCACTTGGCAGGCTGCTCTCATGCCCGTTTCTTCTCCTCTTGCTTCCTGCATGTCCAGAACTGTGACAGGGGCCGAGTGGCCTCCACCCTCCGCTACTGCGTGTCGGTCAGTGGCACAGTGTTTCTGATCGCCGGGACGCTCTGCTTCGCATGGTGGAGTGAAGGGGAGAAGGGTGTTCAACCCAGCCAGCCGGCCCCACCCGCTGGGTACCCTGCGCCTGAGGCCCCCGGGTCCCTGCTCAGGTCCATCAGCTTCATCTGCTTTGGGGCAGGCGGCTTGCTGCTGCTCCTTGGCCTGCTGTGGTCCATCAAGGCCAGTGCCTGGGGGTCACCCAGAAGTGACCCATATCACCTCTCCAGAGACCTGTACTACCTCACTGTGGAGCCGTCGGAGAAGGCGAGCTGCAGGTTAGTGGGGAATGGTGGGGGCCAAAGGTTGGGGCCATAGGTGGGGCACCATTCCGTCACATGCATTTGCTCAGCAAACTCTCATGGGGTTCCTCCTGGGGACCAGGCTTTGTCTATGCCTTGGGGACTTGAAGGCTGATCAGCACAGTCCTGGAGGAGTTTAAAGCCCCATGACAGAGGTAGAGTGGCTCCCCACAGAGTAGTTAGAGCTGTGAGAGAGGCATAGACGCAGTCCTGTGGTGATATGGGGAAATCCAGGAAGGCTTCCTGGAAGAGTGGAAAGCTGAGCTCAGCATGGTATGGGACAGAGTAGCACAGTGGTTAAGAGCCCAGGCACAGACGTCAGACTGACTGGGACCCTCTCCTGGTTCTACTAACTCAGTGGTCAGCAAACTGCGGCCCCTTGAGTGTGGCTCTTCCACAAAATACCATGTGCGGGCGCGCACGTACAGTGCGACTGAAACTTCGTGGCCACACTCAAGGGGCCAAAGAGCCGCATGTGGCTCGCGAGCCGCAGTTTGCCGACCACTGTACTAACTAGCAGTAGGACTTCAAGTAGATCATGCAACCCCACTGAGCCTCAGCCTCATCTGAAATAAAACAGGAATAATAACAGCAGCAATAATAGCAAACACCTGTATAGTACTGACCATGGGCCAGACACTGTTCTATGTGCTTTTCATATATTTACTCTTCTAATCCTTATAGCAGTCCTCTGAAGTAGGTACAGTAATTTACTCCATTTATAGATGGGAAATGGAGGCACCATGATGTTACTAGTAAGTAACTTGCCCAAGGACACCCAGGTAGTGTCTGTCAGGGCCAGGACTTGGACCCAGAGTCTGTGCTGTTACCCGTTCCCTAGCTCAGGGGACACAGGGAGAATTAAATGAGATGATGTGTACGTAGAACTTAGCCCAGTGCCTGGCGTACAGTAGGTGCACAGTAAATGTCAACTTTTCCTCAAGAGGCTAAGGTGGCGAGAGGCAGAAGAGCATGTACAAAGGCTCAGGGGAGGGTGCAATAGACAACATTTCTCAAGCTTCATTTTCATTTTTACTCCCTCTTAGGAGGCTCTTGAGGCATTCTTTTCTCAATCCTCCCCTGTGAAGTTTAAATAGCACAGTTACATTATATACTAGAGGCCCGGTGCATGAATTCGTGCATGGGTGGGGTCACTCAGCCTGGCTGGTGATTGAGGCCTATCAGGAGGGCTGGCTGGCACGGGGGAGGGACC